ATATTGTTAATATTTTATATACATAATGTAAAATTATATGAATGTAAATTTTATATATTACATTTTAAAGATTAGATTCATATAATTTAAAATAATTTATCTTCAATATTAATAATGTAAAATGATAAATTTTGAATAATAAAAATTTTAATTATTAATCCCCACATATTACTATATTTATATTGTTTCCAGTTTTACTAAGTATTTCTTCTACTATTTCTAGAAGTTATTATTTGAATTAAATGAATTCATTTTGGTTATGTAAGTAAATTTTTACTACAATCAATTTTATGATTGGGTTCACAATTTGAATAACAGGTTTATTCGCATCATTTTCCTTCCTTTAATATTTATTTAAATTGCTTTGGCTATGAGCTCTTCAATTTTTTTGAACATTGACTTATTTCCTCTTAAGTATATAATAATTATTTCTCATATAATATATAAATATTTTTTATTAATTCCTTTATCATATCTTTGCTTTTATGGTCTAATTTTTTCAATATCAACTACCATTCTTCTGCATTGTCACAGATTAGATTAAGCTATAAAAGAATTTGTTCCTTCAGTTAAATTAGTTTCATCTGTAGTTAGGAAGCTATAGCATGATAAATGGTCTGATTTTATAGGCTGTTCTATAATGGTATCATTAAAAGTAGTTGTTTCTTTTGATTTTTTAATATCAGCCATAGATTCAATTTTAATAATAAATATGTATTATATTACTTATAATTGAAATTATATTAAATAATATTTATTATTTAAGTACTAAATTATTATATTGATACAAAAGGAATGGATATAACCTAATTTAATATACAAGATAAACTAGATCCCTAGGCCATATATATTATACATTTTCTTATTCGTTATTTCACTAGATTCTTCAGTAAATAAATTTTCTTTTTAAAACCCTATAATAAAAAAGAATTATAATAGGAATTATAATATTGTCTACCATTATTATTTTTAGTGAAAATTAATTATTATTAAGGTAATTTAGAACAATTATAAACATATTACGACCCATTCCAAATAAATAATCTCAACAATTTCAGACCTTCTATCTCTAATTTTTAAAGTTATTTATATCTATTTTATCTTTAGAAAAATGCTCCCTATAATGATCTTAACAAAAATTAAAGACTAAACTTAATGCCAAAGATTTGATAATATTTCCAAAAAAGCAATTACGAATTAACAAAAAAAATAATTTTACGTTATTTTAAAATAAATTTAAAAATAGAGTTGATATTTTTTTTGTTATTGGTGTAAAGTTATATTCATGAATTTGAGAAAACTTATTCTTTATGTCGCATTCTTGACCATTCTTGAAAAATATAGCCTAGGTAATTGTTGAAACAATAGCAAAGCTCCGCTGATATTGAATTAAAAAAACTGATTTACATAAATTTAATAATTATGTATTAGCTTTTTCTAATAAGTATACTTCTGATAAAAGAAATACAGTCAGAGACTATTGTGAAATGTTATTATGAATATGATGATTCTACTTTGGAAATTGATGAAACTAGACCTTAAAAATATACTTTATCGTTACAAACTAATTCTCCAGATCTGAATTCTAAAGGTTTTGGATTTTGGTCAAAATATATTCATAATAAAGGATTCACCCCTTAGTACTAAGGACCAATGCCATTTATTGATCCAAATTGTTATAGCTCAAAGTGTAAATTCTATGGGATTTTATTGATGAAAATATTGGATTCATATTCAAATTTATTTGGTGCACTTATCCTTAATATGATGGATAATCCTATAAGATTGACACATGATTTCTATTTATATCCAATAGGTCCAAATTAATAATATTTTGCTTAAATATATTTTGATGCCAGCTAATATGAAAATATTTGGATTTATACATCTTTTGTGTATTCAATGAATGATTAAACAATAAGATTATTCACAAATATTGGATCTTAACTAAAAACATTCACTTATTCAATTTTTTCAGATAAGATAAACATTTAACTTGGAGGATCTTTGAATTTGAATTAAAATAGTTTTTATGGAAAGAAACCATATGATTTCAAAGGATATATATCACCCATCTAAGAATATGAAGCATTTTAATTTATGGATGATTTTTTTGCCAATTTATTTTCAAAATGTTTTTTTTAGGAATAGCAGACTAAAGCTGAAATTTATGAATTAAAATATTTTGAGCCTTAAATATTTGTAGGTTTGGTTATTTATTTTAATTATCATGAAACGATTATAAATAATCGTTACGTATTAAAATGTTGGATTAAATAAGATTACTTAGAAGTATTTATTAAATCTAGTTTAGGCTTATAATTTTTATAAAACTGAATATGGAGAAGACCATATGCAACTTATGCAAGCAATATTTCGTATTGACTCTCCATTTGGTATAAATACAAACTTTGTTGGCGATGTTGTTGCAAGATTTTTTTATACAGTACTTTAATTTAAACTATGAATAGGTTGACTTTTAGAATAATGATTAGACCAATATTAATTTTTAAACAGAATTTTATAAAATACCAATTTTAACACCAAAATATCAAGATTAAAGTTTGAGAGAATTTGATACTTTAACAATCAATGGATAAAATCTATATGATTTAACTTAAAAATGGCATTATTTCATTTTAGAATATGGTAGAACACCATCAGAGAATGGTGGTAAACTTTAATTGAGATTTTATTTTGAAGATTAGGAGCCTTAAATATACAATTTAGGCACTTAGAACTATAATTCTTAATTTACAGGTTATATCATAACATTAACCCTTTAATTGTATGAAGAAACCTTTAGAACAAGTAGGACAAAATTAGAAAAGATTACATTTATAACTGGTTTTTAAGGAGATAATGAAGACAAATAAGGTAAATATAATATTAATTTTAGATTGTTATAAAAGTTGTAAATATTGTAATGGTCCTATGAATTATTAATGTACATCCTGTTATGAAGAATATAATTAATTTTTAACTTAATTTAATCAATGTGAATGCAAATATCTTTATACATATAATGAGAATACAAATAGATGTGATAAAATCGAAGATTAACATGGTTTAACATTTTATTAAGAATCAGTTTCTTAGTTTTGCTAATTTGGATATTTCTAAGTATTTTATGAAAACCAATATTTTTGTATTAGATGGTATGGAAAATATTTTTATTATTAGCCCTTAATATCATATAGTAAATTTATTTTGTGGAGATTGCTATTTTCAATTTTAAACTTGGTATCTTAAACCAATTTGCACATTTGATTTAATTTAAGAAAAGGATTCATATGCATATATGAAGCATATTAGATTAAATATTCAGATAGATGTTTATTATTTAAATTCTGGATTAGAATTATAAATACTTGAAGGAGCATCAGAATTTTGTGAGGATACATTACATGGATGTTAGATTAGTAATAAATATCATTTAAATTAATAAATAAAAATTAGATGTAAAAACAATCATTTTTATGAAAATTCTGTATGCAAAATATGTGATCCTTATTGTATAAATTGCTAATCTGAGCATATTTGCTTAGAATGTATAGAATCTCATTACTTTAATTTAATAAGCAATCGTTGCGTATTATGTTCACCATAATGTTTGACCTGTAAAACAGATATAAATTCTGAGTTTGGTGAAAAATGTTTATCTTGTATTTCGTAATTATATTAGTAATTTAAATAGATCATATGCAGCTACTAATTAAGGATAATGTTAAAAATGTGGACTTAATTGTTAATATTGTAAAGAGGATTACAATTAATAAAATAAATAGTATTTCTTAAGATGTTTAAAATGTTTTGATGATAAAATTATGGCAATAAGATTTAATGGTATAGATTGTTTAGTAATTGAAAAATCTAATTGTCAATATGTCATGATTATTTCTAAATCTTAGAGTATTAAATATAATAGCTACTCATATAATTTTTAACCATCAAATGATTTATCTGATGAACTTGCTGTTTGTGCATTATGTGATCCAGACTATGTATATGTTGTTGATATTGCACAATGTTAAGTGATATAGGAAGAAGTAGCTTGTCTAATTGGAATTTTTCATGAATTTCCAGGTGATTTATTTTTTACTGGAATTTAAAAGACATGTTTAGTTGGTTAATATTCTTATGGCGCATTGAGTTTTATAGGAGAAAGTAATTGTTAAAATTATGTCACTCATTGCAATTTTTGTTTTATTCAATACACATATAGCCCTAATTATTGTCTTGAATGCTTTGATGGATATTATATCAATCGTTTAGGAGGAGAATGTTTACGATGTCCAGAATCATTAAATTGTAAGACTTGTTTTCAATAAAGTGTTGGATATTATGATTAATGGAAAATAAAAACAGCCATATTGAATTAATTTTTAAAAATGAGAAATGACGAAAGATTCTTTGTAATTTATTTTTAAATTAAATATTAGTTTGCTTATCATGATTTTAGTCAGAATCCTAATGACTATGAAACAATTTGTATGTCTTGTTTTGAGGGTTACCTACTTAAAAATGGAAAATGTATTAAATATTGTGATTCAACATGTGAGAGTTGTATATTTAAAAATGATTAATACTTTTGTCAATCTTGTGGTAAGAATAAGTATCATAATTAATTGAGTGTTATTTAATATTAATGCTCTGATTGTCCCAGTTATTGTGAATTATGTAGAGAAAGAACAGATGAAGAAATATTTAAATTAAATCCTCTTTTCATTAAGACTAACTAAAATTAAATATTTACTTATTAATGTTTGTTACCTTTTTTAAATAATAAAAATATCTATTATGACTAAATTTTTGGTTAATTTATATCTTGTAAAGATATATTATAATGTGAAAATGTTTTAAATATTGAACTAAATTTATTTTGCTCTTATGAAGATTATCAAACATAATTATCATCAATTACTGATTAGAATCTGCAAAAAGAGTTTCAAATGAAAAATGTAGTATTTTAATCTCTTATTAAATCAAATATTGAATCAAATAGTTTTATTTTTGTAATTAATTATATTTTAATATATATAGTATGAAACCAATGATATTTTTGAGATTTTGAACAAATTAAATGTAAGAAGAATCAAAATTTTTCTTAAATCATAGCAATAATAAACTTGTTCAATTGATCAATTTGGATATATTTCCTAGAAGTTTTCCAAATACGTATTTAGTACTATGTAATCATATATCTTATTCTTAAGCGACATACAATTAAATTTGATATCAGAAATTGAGTAACCTTTAATTCTTGAGATTGTAGATGATTTAAGTTTTGTGGATTTTTCATTTGTTCGAATGTAGAATATAAAGATTTCAATTAAAGAAAATATTAATACTAAAATTATAAATGTTTATGGATTTTAAAGTATTTCATTAGAATTGGAGAAAGTTATTATAACTTCATAAGCATAAATTAACAGTACTCTATTTAATTTTTAATGTAATTAATTAAATTCATTACTATTTAATCAAGTTAGTCTTGAAAATATAAAGATTGATAATTAAAATCTAAGAAGCATATTCTCCTTTTAATATGTAAAACACTAGAATTAGATTATCATATAAAATTTTAATATTTCTAATAGCAATCTAATATATACAAATATCTTTGAAATTAAATCTCTTGAAAAGTAATCAATCTTTTTGTATAATCTAAACATAGATTCTGAATTAGTTAATTGTTCTTTATTGGCTACTTCAATAGAAATTTAAGTAGTTACAATATTTAATTTTTTTATTACTGGTATAATGAAATAGACACATCCTTTTATCTCTTTATAAAATGTTGTATTTGCTAATATTGAAAATTTTACTATTAAGTCAATGAAATTAATAAATTCAACATTATTATAATTAGAGAAACGAACTAGAATTACTCAATTTGTTATATAGACATGTGAAACTTAAGGGTATTTTAAATTTATACAAAATAATATCCCTAAATAATCAACCTCTGATCAACTCTAATATTCGATTATTGAATTAATTGTAGAAAATTTGAGCTTAAGTTATTAGACTTAAATATTGGATTTACAATCATTTAGTTCTACAACATCTGAGTTAGAACTCTCTAATATTAAGTTATTAAATAATAATCTAAATGAATTACAATAAGAGAATTAATATTTATTTAATATTGAATTACAAAATGTCAAAATTATAGATTGTAATATCATCAGAGGAAATGGATTAAGCGAATTTTAGTTTTCTAATTTATTATTCTTAAGATTTATTAATTTGAAAATCACTTAATCTTAAATCACTCTTTTGCATTAATATTTTGAATGCTCAAGTATGTAAAAATTCAAAAATTAACATCCAAATTTAATTAAAGTAATGGATGTTATAAATGTCTTTTTTGATTATCTTATAATTGAAAGAATAAATATCTTAAATTCAGGTTTGCTATTATTTTAGAAATAATCTTAAACTTAATCATCTTCTGAAGATGCAATTATTTTTAAGAATTTAAATTTGAAAGATAATATTATAATTACTTCACTTAATGATGCATATGCTTCACTAATTTCAATTATGAGTAATCAAAGGATTGTAGTCAATATAACTTAGGCAACAATATCAGGTAATTAATTGCATAATTATGAATAAAATATATAAATGCCATCTGCTGTAAGTTTAATAATCAATTGTCCATCAGGATCCATAAATTTACAAAATAATTACTTTTATAATAACTTTGCTACTAATACTCCAGATACCATAATAAATATAGTGGCTAAATAAATTATATTTGATAGAATTTAATTTATTAATAACTCCATATATAATATCAGTTCACTTTTAAATAATATTGTATATGGATTTTCTAATGATTAAGTTATCTTTTATAGCAATTTGTAATCAATATTTTAACTTCAAAATTTTGTAGGAAATGCTTATCTATCAGCTGATTAAGTAACTGGTTCAAATACAATAATATAAAATTCTTAAGGTAAAAATGGAGTTGGATTATATATAAAGGCTAAATTTACAAAATTAAATAGAATTTAATTCTTAAATTTGAAAACTTTCTTTTATTTTAATGAAGAAAATGGTGGATGTATATTTTTAGAAATACCTTCTAGTGAATGTTAAGTTTTGATTTAAAACATTATTGCAAATAACATAATTTCAAAAGATTATGGAGGATTAATATATATTAAATCAGATTATGATAATTTGAATTTGACACTTTAAAACTTGACTGTATCTTAATGTATTTCATATAAAGGTACTGTTCTTCATGCATCATTTTTGAATAACACCTTATCAAATCGTATAACAATTAATCAACTTTATATTTCAAATCAATATAATGCATTTTAAAATTATATCAAATAAATAGTTGAAAATTAAATTATTTTGAATAAATTTAATGAAAGAGTTTCTGTATACTTAGAAAATGCAATAGTTTATCTATCTGATATCATTATTAAGAATCTATTTGGAGAATCTATACTCTTGAGTTTATACTAAGAGAATGCCAATTTAAATTCAATCAAAGTACTTAATGGAAATATTTTAAAATAGAAATTAATCCATATGTAACCAAAGACTAGTATTAATTTATTATTATTTATTAGATTAAAATACTTTTATTTTAATTCAAGCCTTTTCAGTTATTAATGTCTAAGAATTCACTTAACCTTAAAAATAATGTAATGTTTCATATATTGAAAATAAAAACAATTAAAAAAATATGTAATGTTAAGTTATTAACTAAAAACCATAAAATAACTTAATTGTTGATATTCAATAAGATTATAGTAAGGAAATAGAATGTTTACACTTTTTATTTATTTCTTCAGCTTAAATCGATTAGTAAGCTTTAATAATGATCAATTTGAATACAGAATCACATACCATAGAATTATCAGATATAAATTTGATCAATAATAATTTATCTAATTCATTAAATGGACTTATCTTTATTTAATTAAGTGAAATTTACTAAGATAATTTTTAAATAAGTTTAAAGAAATTAAGTATTAAAAATAATCAATGTGGCAAAGTTGGATGTCTGTATATTAATTCAATTATTTTTGATGAAAACAAAATTATCCCTACAATAAATAATAGATTATTAGCACAAGATTATGAAAAAATTGTATAAGAAATTAAGCATGACATTAATATTGTAAATTATGAATGCATTGGAAATTTAGCAGATTATGGAACATGTTTATTTTCTAATCATACAAATATATAATTAAAAAATTCCTTATTTTATAACAATACAGCAAATAGAATTGGAGGTACAATTTATTTTATTGGAAAACAATCTAAATTATTTTTAATTGATTGTTAAATCTCTTCTAATTATGCTTAGGTAGCTGGGGCTATGTATTTTGATGATAGTATAGCTTAGGATATGAATAAATCTAATACTATTTTAATGGATAATAGAGCTTCATATTATGGTAATAATAATGTTCAAGCACCAGTACATTTATCAATAACTTTAAATAATAAAAACCTTTTGTAAACTTTTAAAGTAGAGGAAAGTAGAAACTAATTAAAAGAATAAATAAATTCTCTCAATATCAATCATATAATATATTTACCAAGTGGTACTCCTATAAGTTTGTATAGAAAATTCAACTCAGAAATGTAAATATTAGAATAAGAAGAATACAAATTTAGAATTTTAGCTTTGGACAATTAATTTACATAAATAAAGAATTTAAAAAATACTCAATGTAATATTGAAACTCAAGTCTATAATTTAACATCAAAAACCTATTTATAAGTTTCTAATAATACTTATATTTCTAAAAATTCAGTAATATTTAATGAAAAAACAAATGATTACAATTTAGATGATATGATTATTTATTTTGATAATAATAATACTGGTAAATCTTATTTATAATTAATTATTACTTGTAACAGTATTAAAATTCCTTAATATGATGAAACTAATTAGATAATATAATAATTTCATAATAATTATCAATTAATCATTAATATAAATACATTTAAATGTAGAGTTGGAGAAATTAAATCACTCACAGACTAATCTTGTTATGAGTGTGACTATAATTTAGAATAATATTCTATAACTCTTGATTCTAATAAATGCAATATAAGGGATGAGTAGACTACCATAAGTGTCACTTCATTTTAATTGAATTTAAAATAAGTAAATATATCACTAATATAATTTAGGGATTTTGGAGACCTTATTTTGATAATAATTATATTGAACAATGTTATAATTATAATGAGAATTGTCTAGGAGGATGGAAATACGGAATGGATTCTTGTTATTTAGGCCATTATGGAGCTCTTTGTGAATTATGTGACATTGAAAATATAAGAGGAGATGGATCATTTTCAACAGCTTAAGAATATTCTTGTGGGTCATGTGATGACATCAGTTTTAATGTAGTATAAATAATAGCATTCAGTCTTTGGTATTATATATTGTATACTATTATTAAAGGACTTTATTTACTATCGTTCTAAGTGTAAAGGGGGCTATAACTACATAACACTCCTTTTTGGAATCTCCATTTTTAATAAAAATACTTACAAATTATTTGTAAATAATAAGTTCATTAACTTCATTTAAATTGAATTTACCAGTTAATTTTTTCTATTTCTTAAATGGAGTTGGAAATCCTATTTAAAGAGTTTCATATTCTATGGATTGTTAATTAAGTAAAGTTATATACTATATAGTTTAAATGACATCTCTAGATATCCACTATAGTAGATTGATTTGGTAGTTATTGTTTCCTTGTATCTATTTTTTTATGCTGGGTATCCTTTATGCCATCTTTATACTAATGAAGTAGGTCAAATATAGATCACCTATTATCATGACTGCTGTCATCTACATGTATATTTATTTTCAGCCAACCCTAATTGGTTCATTTATTGCTATGGTTTCTACTAGAACTATAGCAAATGTTCCCTGGATTTAAGCCTATGTTGCCTATAGATTTGATACAATTATTCATTAAAGATGGGTTTATATATTATGTGTTCCAATGTTATCTTTATTTGGAGTCATAATACCTTTTGGTTTTCTTCTTTGTCTGGTCTATAATAAAGATAAACTTTAGTATAAAAGAGGTAAGAGTTTATTTGGATATCTTTATTATGAATATAAACCATAAACATATTTTTGGGAGATTATTAAGATAGTTACAAAAGAATTGGTTATTGTCTTCTTAATATTTTATGAAGATTCTATAATATTAAAAGGCTCCTTAATATTTTTTATACTCTTATGCTATTGGTCTTTGAATCTTAAATTTATACCTTTTAGAACCTCTAGATTAAATTTATTAGATTATTAATCTTCAATTATTTGTGGAGTTTCAATGATTTTCGGAATCTGCCTAAGTATGGATTAACAGCAATAATTTTAAAATATATCAACTGTTTTATTTTTCACTCTTATAATTATCAATATCTTTATGCTTCTTAAAATGTTACTTTATATATTGAATGCATACTCAAAAGAAATGGTAACCAGTTTAGATTAAATTAAATTAAAAATCTTGTAAATTCTGCCAAATAGATTTAAATCAAATGATAGTATATGCTAAAGAATTTTAAAAACTTAAGCTGAAACTAATTAAAGAGTGAAAGCTAATATTTTGAAATTAAAAACAGCATTGAAAAAACATTAAAGTAAATCTTAGAAACCAAAAGTTACGATAATTAATCCTAGCATCACAACAGAAAATTAATTAATTTCACTGGACTTTAAAAATAGTATTTAACAAAAAATAAAAATATGAATATTTTTTAGTTTTCTTAGAATCATATAAAAAAATCAATTTATTATAAATTAATTCTATATATTTGTATTATAATTAAAAAAATTTAATAAAATTTAATAATTTTTAATTGTATTAGAAAATAGAAATTATAACCAATATCTTCAAACAAAAATATCTATTATTTTACAATACATTAAATATCTTAAACTAATATACTGTATCTTTTTAATGAATTTTTACTTTAGAATTTCTCCAAATCTTAATTTATTTGAAGCAGTTTTTTAATTTAAATTTATTTTATTATTCTTAATATTTTATCATTATTTATTTGAGATTCATTGTTATTTTCATGATTATTTTTACTCTATCTATTTTAATAAATAGATAGAAAATTTTAGGCTAGAATTTAATCATAAAAATGAATTCTTACTTTACTTTTAATCGGAATAAATTAAAGGTATAAATGAAACTTATTCAAATTCTCCTGTGACCTTTCTTAAGTCTTTTGTATTAAATTAAACTTCACAAAAGCAAAGAGGACTTGATATAAGTTAAAAAAATAAGAAAGCTGAAATCAGTTAATATGGATAATTTTTTTGGTTTTTAAATAAATTA